AGAAAGCAGAGTGTACACAGGTTGGCCATGACATTTGACTATTCTTGCTTGCTAGGTCATCTCACTAAGGAGTAGCCTGAATAGATGTGGGATGACACTGTTACAGAGTACAACACAGGTAATAGAGCTCACTGTTGTTTAATTGAGGTGAACTCCTTGAAGGCAGTGAGTTGCTGACTTTGTTTCGTTTTTGTGGTATGGGGTTTTTTTTGGATCTTCACAGAAGTTATTACAAGGAAACTGTGAAGGTGGGTGTAATTTTGAAACCAAGAAGTGCCATTAAAGCTGGAGCGAAAGGAAGATTGCAAAATTTTCAGCTGGCTAGAAGCAGATAGAGCAAACCAAACAGAGGCAAGAGAATATAGATGGAAAGAAACATCCTTCTGTTGCTCTTTATCAATGAATCCTTTTATCCAAATACTTTCTATTTCAGGGATTGTGCTACAGGGAAACACTGGTGATAAAACAATCAGGATCTTACCCTTAAGTAGTTTGATCATTAAATTAGAGGATGAGACAATCAAATTACACAGAGCAATGTTCTGTCTGTGATGAATGCTTAGGAAGAAGGTATATGACATTATAAAAAAGATACAGTAGGAAGATTTCATTTCATAAAGGAAATAAGCAAGACTTCCTAGATGGAATGGTGATCTGAAGGAATGGGCATTAATTATATTTCTATTTGCAGGGAGGTTCATGGAGAGAAGAGGTGAAGTTAGTGAGGCAAGGATGAACTTATTGCTGTTGTCTTTCTCAAGAGGTTCCATCAGCTATTATGTGACATCTTTTTCTGGACTGTACTATTTAATGATTAATGATATCTAGAACCTACAGAGCTTACCTGTATATAAAAGTACATAAAAGCAACATGTAATTTGAAAAAATTAACACATAATATACTATATTATTTAATCATTTAGAAGTTGTTCTATATAACTGGAAAGTTTGAAAATTAAGAGGTTTAAGGAAGAATCTGCTCATTTGTGAAGCATCAATTAAGTACTAAACTTAAAAGAAATAAAAATATGCTACACAAGAGGTCAAGCCAATTTAATCTTGTTTCATTCTCTTACAGAAAGTACATTAACATCAACTATTACTTCTTGTACCTAGTTGGTGCCATGGCATATGGTCCCTTTATAAATATGATTTCACAGTTACAGAATTTTAATAACAAACTTACTATTTTATAGGTAAAGAATTGGGTTCAGAATGGTTGTTGCTGATTTATTTTTCCCTGAGAATCCACACTATCTTCACTTCTCCCTTCTTAACTTCTCAACTCCATACAATCTTTTACTTGTCTTTATTATGTCACTTTTTCAGACTAAGAGAAGACTCTTATTTCTTCTTTTATTTTCTCCTGTACCCTAAATATGTCAGCAACTTTCAACAAAATTTACTTTTAATCTCAGTTGATCTTACTACATTTGTCACTAGTCATTTCTATATCCTAGGAATAGAAATATGCATGGATATATGCTTATGCAATTATGCCAGCTTTTCCTGGTTTTCTCACATTCTGAGTCTTCTCCATGTACTCTTTCTTACTGAAAACAGCATCTCTTTCTGTATTTCTTATGATTCTCTTCTCATTTCCCCAAAATACCATTCTTGGAGACCATTTTATATCTCCTGAACTATAATTAATATGCATAATCTAAGACTCCTAAGTCTGACTCTTTGGTCCAGATCCCTCCTTTGAGCTCTGGACAGACATTTCCAGTTGACCTTTGGACACATCTACCTGGGTATCTCATAACCTCCTTAAATCAACTCCTTAACCAACTTTGGTAAACACCTAGCCATCATCTGCAAACTTGCAGATATTTTTCTACCAATTCAATCAATACTTGGATACCTGGGAAATGGAAACAGTTGTTCCCTGTCCACAGTCAATTATTCACAAGTCCCTATTTATTTTTATTGGTACATTTTAGGTATGCAATTCATTTACATTTATCATTGGGTGCTTGTACCTGTACACGATATATCTTGGTTCTTATTTTTTTCCCCATTACCTGTGCGCCCTTCACCCCCTCCGCCCTTACCTATTTACATAGATTTCATTTCCATTTTTTTTTCTTTTCTCATAGTTTTTCCTTTCCCTCTTTTCCTTTCCCCTTCCCCTCCCTTTACTCCTTCGTCTTTGGACCTTTTTTCCTATTTCAAATTATCAATTAATTATTCATTTTAATCATTTTAACCCTTGTTTACACTATCAGTTTCTCACACTAGTGAAACTATTCAGTATTTACACGTGTCCTATTTATTTCACTTAAGAGTATGGCCTCAATATGCATCCATTTAGCTATAAATGACTCTAGTTTTTCGTTCTTTAAGACTGAGAAGTACTCCGTTTTATATAAAAAACATATTTTCTTTATCTAGTTTCCAGTTGATGGGCATTTGGGCTGCTTCCAAGCTTTAGCTATTACAAACTGTGCCGCTATGAACATGGGTTCACATATATCACTGTGGTATGATTCTTCTAATTCTTTTGGGAAGATACTCAGCAGGGGAATAGCTGGGTCAAATGGGGCCTCTAGTCCTAGTTCTCTGAGATATCTCCATACTGACTTCCACAGTGGTTGCACCAGTCTTCACTCCCATCAACAATGGAGAAGGGTTCCTTTCTTCCCACACCCCCACCAGCATTTGTTATTGGTTGATTTCTTGATAGCAGTATTCTTTCTAGGGTGAGGTGGAATCTCAGTGTTGTTTTCATCTGCATCTCTCGAATGACCAGTGATGTTGAACATTTTTTCATATATTTATTTGCTGCTTTTACTTCTTTGTCTGAGAAATTTCTGTTCATTTCAGATGCCCATTTTTGAATTGGGTCACAAGTCCCTATTTATATACTTAGGTTTTCCTTGAAGTTGCTTTCTACATTTTCTACTTTCAAGACACTCATAAATGTATTTTTAAAAAAGGAAAGAAGGAAGTGAGAATAGTAAAAAAAAAAATTTATATTTCACTATTTCTCATATGAAAAGAATAGCTCATAAAAATTATGCTAATTTCAATAAAAACACACATATGTACAAACACACATTAAATATTTCTTTTTTTTTTTGGTACTGGGGATCGAACTCGGGTCCTTGTGCTTGTGCAGCAGGCGGCAAAACCACTGAGCTAAATCCCCGGCCCCGACATTAAATATTTCTATGAAACCCTTTAGGGGACCAAACTGTATTACCTTTTTGATAATGAAACTCTCCTCCCCTCTTTAATCAAAGGCCCATTCCTTTTAAGTGACTATGTCTTGAGTATATATTAAAATTTTAGTTTTTATTAATGCCATTTCAAATACTGTTTCCTATGTAGTTCATTTCTAGAACTCATACGTAATTCAATAAGAGAGTTCAAATAAGATGTTATCAATTAAGTAGTTGCTCTCTGATTAGTAGCTAGCATTCTTGTCAGTGGGTCCTCTCATAAGGTACACTCAATTAGAACCTGTATTACACTCAATTAGAATCTGGCTGGGGTTCTCCAAATAGTAGCTGGAAAGATAGAGTAAAGATTCTACCCCTTTCTGGAGTGTATGAAAATATCTCCAGCCATTCCTGTCATTTTTCTGCATTCTTCAAATTTTTCCATTTGGTGCTATTCCCCAAAGAACCATGGATGCACCACAGAATGCCCACTTTTAAGTGGAATACATTTGAGATATTATTTTTATTGCTGTTGTTATAGAAAAAAATAGAGAAGTGATGAATAAGTTACTTGTACTGCAATGGGAACCTCAATAAAAGGCTAGAAAGAATCAAATCACTAACAGCTCCAATATCTAACAGTATAATGGATAGGCCTATGCTGACCATTTTGTGAAATACAGATTTAAACCTCATCAGTTCATAGCTCCTCAACACCTTGTCAGTAAACACTACAAAAGATAAACCTGAAGAACTGTCAAGAAAAAACAAAACAAAACAAAACAAAACTCCGAATGCAAGATGCAGAGAAAAAACCTGAAAACTGAACTCTTGATTTATTGAAGCAACCATGCATTAAACAGATGTTAGTGTTCATATCTCTAAAAAGGTGAGTGAGAAGATAATTATTTCCAATTTATCTCTTGAGAAATTAATTTTATTAAAGACTGGGAGTAAATCTGATGTGTGCACCCAAGAACTGTAGGAAGAGTCAAACTATAAAATTAACACAATGTGCAAGCATTCTTCAAGAAATCAGGAGATTTCTAGGTTAACAAGAGTTGCCTTATGCCTTAATATTGAATATAAGAGTCCACCAAAAAATGTATAAACACTTCAGGAAAAGAAAAACATGTAAAATATTTTAATAATAAATTTATTGTGACATCATGAGATTAATAAAAGTTACCTTTGGCCTGTAAAATTATAAGAGATGCTCAAAGTGGTGGCCATGAACTTCCAGACATTATTAGTATGGCCAACTGCTGCTTGGGTAACCTTGGTCATTGAGATTGCTGCACGTGCATTTTCAATTTCTTCTCTAAGAGCCAGCAGTGTAGTGGGTTTTCTGGAATATATGACATCCTCTAGGGTCCCTCATATGAGGGTAATACCATCTGTTGAAGAAATATCATACTATTTTTCTTTTCCTGAAATGTGTATACATTTTTTGGCGGACTCTGTATACCTAAAAGAACATGTCAACAAGAACCTTGCAAAGGATTAAACTGTACTGTAAAGTAGGTATGTTAGGCTCTCATTGCCTGGTTTCACCAAATATGCCTGCCCATCTGCTTCTACCTGATACTGGGTATTCCAAGGAGATCGGTGATTCTGACTGAGTTTTTCACATGGGTCTACAGTATGCTGCTCAGATGTAGTTAAATAATTTTTTTCCCTTTCACTGTAAGTGATCTGATGATGTGGCCTCCAATGTAGGTTCGTGACTTAGTCTGGAGTGCCAAACAAAATTCCATAAACTTGGTGGTTTATGAAGAGTAGAAATTTATTTCTCACAATTCTAAAAGCTACAAAGTTGAAAGTTAAGGCACTTACAGATCTGATGTCTGGTAAGGGTCCATTTCTTGGTTCATAGATGGTGTCTTCTTGTTGTATCTTCCCATGATGAAGAAGGCAGGCTAGCTGTTTGAAGAGTTCACACTAATCCTAATTATGAGGTCAGAGTCCTCATGAACTAATAATTTCCCAAATACTTCACCTCCTAACATCATTATCTTGGGAGTTAGAATTTCAAAATATGAATGTTGAGAGGAGATTACATTCAGACCATAGTAGTCTGCTATCAAAATGTAAATGGAGTGGTCACGGGGGCATGAGTATGTCAGTACTGTGACTATTCCATGGCTCTCTGAAAATTAAGAAAGAGACATATAGGGTTTGCACAGTAGTCTTGTAAAATCAGTTTTGAGTCTGTCCCTGAGTGATGACTTGGAAAGAGTGCTGACAAAATCAGATTTCTGAGGTCATGACATTAGGGGTCAAAATCTTTGTCTTTGATTTTAACTTTTCCCTTAGAGCCCTCTCAATGAGCCAAGAGATAAAGGAGGAAAGCCACTGGTTGCTCACTAAACCTGCTCCCTTTTTTGGCAGAACCTAAAGAACTGTGTGACTCTGAGGCACACCTAAATTACACTGGATTGTCACTTTTGTGAAAACTAAACATCTACTATGGAAACACAGAATTTCACTTGTCAATAGCTTTTGATCAGTTTTAATACACTGTAACAAGAATGATCATTGTAGTAAAAACACATATTTTAATTTCAAGAAGAAAAGTTGTCCAAGGTGACTATCTTCTTTAAGCTGTTTAATTCTCATATATTCTTAATCTCCCTCTCCTGTCCTCTGTATTCCTCTCCTCTTCCCTTCCCTCCTCTCCCTTCCTTTCTCTTACTCCCCTCTTCCTTCCCCTCCCCTCCTCTACCTCCCTCTACCCACCACACTCTTCCCCCTCCACTCCTTTCCCTTCACCCTCCTCTAGTTCACACTATCACAGTTAACCCCTTAAACTAGCTCTTGACTGGTTTCCTCTCATTTTTTATTTTATTACTTTTGTCTTATTGTTCTCCATACAGTAAGGAACCACTGCATCCACACGGTTAAAAAACCCCCTCAAAAGTCAGTTCCATTATATAATGATGATAATAATATCATTATTATTGTATGTTTTCCTCATCAATCTAACCGAGTGTTAATCTTTGAGAACTTAAAATACTGGACTTGAAAAACTAATTTCTGTAATAATATAACAATTTTCAAATTTGGAATTCCAACCATGAATAAACAAGCAGTCAGAAGTAAACTTTTGTAGTTGGAGGGGTAATCAAGTTGAAATGAATTGTTTTATGTTCCTCGCACAAGACCAAAGAGCTCATATTAACACTCCCTTGTTCTTTCAGGACAGGAGGATGTAATGAGAATGAGAGTAACCAGAAAAGTATGTACTAGAAATCCGCAAGGAAGACAAGGCCTAAGTAGTCTGGATAAGATAAAAGGGGCAGAAAGACACTGGTAAGGTCCCTTGTTGCTTTTGCTACGTTCTGCCCACCATGAACTGTTCTCTTTGAAGCTACCCTGCCTTGAAGCCAGCCAACTATGGACTGAAACATCTACAAACTATGAGCTAAGCCTTTCCTCCTTTAACTTAGGGTACCAGTTATTTTGTCTCACCAATAAGAAAAGTAACTAATACACCAATATTTGTAAATACCCAAGTGGGCACATTTAGAGAAGAGGCAAATGCCCATATAAACAAATGAGCTTGAGACCTACTGCTAAATGATTAATCAGAGCATAGACACAACACATGAATAATGTGTGCACTTGATAATGGACAGATGTGGTTGGGTCTAATATTAATTTTTCATAATTCAATATGTTGTGTGTTGTAACAGACATACTTAATGCACTAATGTGAAATAAAGATATCTTTTCTGAATTTTGGTGTCTGTGATTTTTTGTCATTTTATGTAGACCATCATTCTTAACTGTCATTATTTTTGTTGCCACTCCTGTGTCTTAAGTCCTCAATTAAGATTTGATTCAATGGAAACTTTGTGAAGCCTCACCTGCAAGAGATCACGACTTGGGTGAAAACTTCATGGGCTAAAATCACTGACAGCTGTGTTGTCAATGCATTACATGTAGGCTACATGCAGAAGTGCTCATTTAAGGACAGCTCTATTGCTGGACATAAGAAATTGGGGCCAATGGCTCTACAGAAAATGGGGTCATAAAAAATTCAGTCTGGAATTTGGAGTTTCGAGAGTTATGATGATGTTCCAGAAGATGACATGACTGAATTTGAATAAATGTAAATTTTTGTACGTGAATAATGTAGATTGTGGTACACAAATAAATGTAGCTTGTTGTACATGAAAAAATAAGACACTTCTGGGCTGGGGATTTAGCTCAGTGGTTCTACTGCCTGCCTGGCAAGCACAAGGTCCTGAGTTTGATCCCTGGTACCAAAACCAACCAACCATCCAAACAAACAAACAAACAAAAAATAAGACACTTCCATGAAAATAAGCCCTATTGCATCTCTTGGAACAAAAATTAATATAAGAATTGGTCTTATATTTGGGGGATTATGGTAGATGATACATAAATGGCCCACACAAAGGGCATCTTGAGACACCAGCTGTTAGTCTCTACATTAAAGAATAAAACCTACTAATGTGTTTCACTGATTTTTTTGGGAAAAAATAAGAAATTTCATTATTTTTTCCCTATACTCCTTTGAATTATCTTTGTATAGTCACTGTGTACGTACATACCCCACTCTGGAGATCACTGGCTTAAAGAGTCATGGCTTTGAGTTTTAGGTGTTTGGCTTTTAGTTTGTGTGGCTAACCTGAATTGCAATGGACATCTTAATTTCTCCCCTGGCAGAGAACTTGAAGGCTTGGCTGTGGCAACTAGTTAATTGGTTACTGTTCATTCATTTGTTCATTTTATAAATGCTTGATACACAGAAAATAAAACACACAAAAAAGCACTGTTTTTCTGGATTTGATGCAGTTTCGGGGAAAGACAGACAATTCAAGAGTAACAAAAAAATCAGTAGGTTATCTACTATGGAGATGGAAGCACTGTCTATGGATCTGATGTATTTTCAGGGGAAGTTAGATAATTCAAAAATAACAAAAAAAATCATTCAAGCTATCCGCTATGAAAATGGGGGCAGGGAGATCTGCAGGATTAGGGTAGACCTCACTGAGAAGCCTGGATGAGTGTCTAAAAACTGAAGGAATAAGAAATCACCCAAGTGGATATTCCTTTTACTTGCCACAAATGCTACTCATCTTTCTTTACATGTTTCATCCAAGACTTCTAAGGGTTTACAAATGCTATTGTACCTGGTAGGAGCTTAGTAGATTTTAGCTAAATGAATAAAGACAGCACTTTGGAGAGGGACTATGGAAAAATGAAACTATAAAGTTTCTCTTTAAAACCAGGAAGAAAACACAATAAAGAACTTTTCTAAACTATATTAAGACACTTAGACAAACGTCACTATCAGCATGTGGACCAAGCTCATACATCAGGGAGAAAGGTTTATTCTGGTTCACAGCTTCAGGTTTCAAGACATGTCAGCTGGTCTATTGCTTTGGGCCTGTGGGTGGTATATCAGGGTGGGAACATACGGTAAAGCAAAACCACTATCTTCATGATCTGGAAACAAAAAAAGATAATAGAGACTGGGGATCTACTCATTTGAGGTCATTTGAGGACATGCCTTCAATGACCCAATGGCCTCTCCCACTTAAGTGCCACCTCTTAAAGTTTCCACCATCTCCCAGTAGTGTTATACTGAGGACAAAGGCTCTAACACATGGAGCTCTGGGGTATATTCAAGATCCAAAACAAAGCATCATCTAAAATAAACAGAACAAAGTCAACTGATTATGTTAAAACAGTTTGCTGTTTGAATGTGCTAGCTTTTCTTCCTATAAAATCAATATATTCAATGTTTTAAATGAGCCATAATAATACACTTATATAATTACAGGGAAATAGAATATTTGTGTGGCTACAACTACTTATAATAAAAAGAATTATGCTTTTTTCTGTTTTGTCAGTTTTATATTTATAATCTTTTTGTCATAATTTCTGATTTGTAATTTTAAACATTTAAATATCATAATGACAAAGAAACAAAGTAATGTCTTTTTTTTGAAAATAAGTGATTAGCTAGGTTGCTACAGCACTTAAGAGCTAGAAGTGGCTTTTAGAGACTATACATAGCTAACTAAAACCTTGCTAGCTAGATATCAACATTTTAAAAAACAGTTCATGACCTGATTTTAAGGTGGCAAAAAGCTAAATTATTTCCATGAGGGCAAAACAGCAAGTTAGTGGTAAAGCACAGAAGCCATTTCATTCCTTGATCTCAGTCAGTCATTTCATTATGATGCATTTCAATACTTTTAACATTGGGGCTTTATAGTAACTTTATGAACATGCATGCTTAGGACAGCCAGCTTAAAAAGTTTTAGTAGTCTATTTCTCCCTCAACTTCTACATATTCCTTACTTGTGAGACATCAAATAAAAGGCAAAGGATTGGTTTGCAGATTTTGCTTACTGTTAATCAGAACAGAATTAACCCATGTATCTTAAGCTCTTTTTTATTGTAGTTATCTGAAGAAAAACAATTGCCAAAGTAATGAGTCAGGTTGTTTCTTAGTAAAAAAACCATATCCTTTAAACATACAGAGCAATTATTTCCATTAAGTTTCATAGATCTCTTCCATTGCCCAGAATAAAAATCAATAAACTTTCTGAGAGTGAATAAAGACCTGAACAAAGACATGCTCATTTTTAGCAAATATTGTTACTGTTATAGACAGCGTACATGAACCCACGGATTTAAATAGGCCCTTTTGTTATTAAAAAGAAAAGTTTATTCCAGTGAACAGAGACTAAAATCAGGGAGAGATTCTAGCTGCTAGCAGGCAAGAAAAATTACTATTATTAGCTTATATAGATTTTGGAGAAGAGGTTATAATCTAAGGAATGTTTATGACTTGGATGACCAAGGACGGTCTACTCAGGTATGTAGACAATCACTGGACTTCTTGGCACCAGGGGGATTGTATACTTCATTTTGTGTCCATT